AATTATACTTGATAAACTTTTGATACGAATAATAATTAAATTAGACAAGTAAAAGGAGATGAGGCTTGATGTCTTGTGTTCATTGCATTAGAAATGTGGGACATCGCCATTAATATTCTTGACCTACATAGGTCCTAGGTCGAGGGTATTACGGGTTTCCTCTAAAAATGGATACACTCCTAAATTGATCAACCTCCACCCATAAGCAGAGGCTCCTTATACCTAACTCTAAACCATGCCTCCATTCAGTCGCTAGCTAAATATGAAGTCCCCACAAACACTTTTTTTCCAAAAACTTGTCTCCCTAATAAGGAAGGTATACACATGAAATATCTTACCTCCATCTTCAATACCCTCTCGTTAAGAGAAAATAATACAAGCCTTAAAGATGGGGTGACATCGAATCACTTACTAAAATTATCAAAAGTAACAATAACAACTCATTCTTTAGGAAGAAGTTGACAAACATTTATGTCAAAATATTGAAACACCACTACCACAAACCTAGATAGAGAGAATATAAATTTGTATTCAATCATACGAGTAAAAATAGTTATCCAAATGTCTCCTTACACGCCTTTAAAGGTAGGCGTCTCCATCCTATCATTTCGATTAGGGATGATCGCAAGGTAATTCTATCATAAGTAACGAGAAAGACAACTATCCTTTTCTCAAAAGATCCACTAAAACCTCGTTTTACAAAATAAGATGCGGACTCTTATGCATTTTCATAAAGAACAACGATATCTATATCGGGGTGCGCCATTGCCACTAAGGATAGCCTTAGACACATTTCTCATCCTTTAAATCTACCAATCTTAATAAAAAAACAATGTAGAAGAAAATAGATTTACTTATTAAAACTTCAACAACTCATTAAAAAAAAATCACTCTACAACATACTAGATTGTCCTTAAAAACATCAAACTCATAAAAATTTCTCACGATTGAGAAGAAAAAATTGCCAAAAAATATCTTTTCGAAGAACTTCAAACGTTCACCAACTCACTAGAAATCCTCACCAACTCTCTAAAGACTCATCATAGTAAAAAACCAACAAAAAGTAAAAAGACAAAGATGTCATTACCTATTTATAGATAAAATAGCATGAAATTGTTGTATCATATACTTAAAAGTCCAAGCCTAGTAGACAAGTTCAATCCGACGTGAACCGGCCATGTATTACCATCAATCTTACAAAGCAACTAAGGTAGATGTAATTTGATGAACGAAGAAGACTCCAAATGGCCCAATCTCTTCAATTTCCCCAAATGCTCTCACACACAAGTGTTTGATTATTTTCCCATATGTTTTTACGTTTATCAAAGTTAGAGCTATTTAATAAGCCTTCTATACACCCACCAAGATCAAGTAAAAAAAAGACAAGAAAGATACCATTAGCTAATCCGAATGTCTCCTTAACAAGATCGTATATAAATTGAGTCTTTGCCAAAGCCAAATACACTTGTCAAAGACTTAAGGGGTTGTTGATATACCTACATGATCGTGTTCATGAAATGTAACTTTCTACTCAACTTAAAAATTGTCCAACTAGTTTTTTTTTTTTTCCAAACATGATAATCCCGATCAGTCGCTAAGGGGCATCACAATCGGACAAGACTCGAATAATTAATATAGATAAAGGATCCAAACAAAAAAGATACTTTTTTCTTCACTCGTTAGACAAAAAAAAAATAATAATAATAATGAAAACATGACTTTTTAAAATATTAATGTCACATCATCTCTAACATAGTTGCACATTTGTCGTTAGATAATGACCATTAAGTAAAAAAATCTTAAACCTTCAAGTGCATTCCAAAAGTTGTCGAGCATAACATAATAGATCATATATCCTCAACTTCAAGCAAGTTGATCATGCTCTCACTTATATAAAGGTTAACACAACAAGTATTATATTTTCTATCTTTTAGTTCAAACAAATATAATATTACATATCTTTTTCATATAAGAGATAATTTTTTAATTAAAAGTCTACTAAGACAATAGACCTTTCTCTGTAAGTTAACTTAGCCATCAAAGAGCTCTTTAAACACCAAATGAGGATTTGTTTTGTAAGTACTCGTTATTGATTAAACATATAACAAGTTATAGTAACCACACAAACAGCGTGATTTAGAAGTTATCCAATCATTAATCCTAATCTAAAGAGTACGTACCTCATTATGATGTAATTCTGTTTTTTTTTTTGGTCAAATAATTTAAGAAAGGGTTTTTTTTTTAATCAATATTCATTTCTAAAACGTTGGTGAGCACAACCATGTTTCGCCTCGGTCCAGTCAACCGATCAAAGCTTTTCAACATATTTACGATTTTCTTTTTCGGCCTAGTATTGTACTACCACCACTATTATTATTATTATTTCTTTGTTATTGGGAGGTATACAATACATATGGTTATACAATGACGAAAGATATTTGATACAGGATCATTAGGACAAGTTGAAAAATTTAGAGCAGTTTAGTCATACTTCATCACCATCACCTGTGAGCATCAATTAAGACCAATCCATTTCCTGGTAAAAAATAATCATAACTCGTATATACATGCAGGGCTAGCTACTTTCCACTATTGTACAAATACAGAAACTAGTTCATCCTTAGCTGTCCACACTCCACCAGTGACGAGATTGTCTGTATCTAGCGAACGTGCTGAAAATGTAGGGTACAAATTGAGGCCCATAAGTTGGGCAATAATGTTTTAGAATTGCTGTCGTTTGCTGAGCTTCCATGTGGTAATGTGCTGCACCATGAGTTGTTTGGAATTGCTGTCTTTTTATGCTTTGATTTTTAGTGATGTGCTGAACTCTGAATTTAAAATAACAAAAAGAAATGTCTTATCACTGATCATTAAAGAGGTGTCATGTCAACGTGGATTACTCGTAAAAACACTCTAAATGTCACCTTCAATGTATGTTTGATCATACTTTTAAAAAAATTACTAACTACAGTCATATAACAGTTTCATTTTATTGTTATTCGACCATACGAGTGCTCGACGTCATTTCACAAGCATAACAAAAAATAACAGCATTATCCGTTATATAATATTATTATTTATCGTTAAATAACAATATTATATATTAAAAAAAATAAAAATCAATCATTTTAGATTTAGAGTCTCAGAATTTATTTTATTAGAGAATAAAAATCAAATACTAGAGTTGGAAGCTTGATTGAATAAATATTAAATTAGTTCTTTTATTTTGGCTAAATAAATTAATTAGTCCTTTTTATTTCAAAAACTAATTATTTATTTATTTTTGTTCATTTTATGTTATTTTTTAATTTATTTATTTTTGTTTGAAAAATGAAAAAATAAATTTATATCATGAAAAGATTGATGAAAAAAAATTTGGTGAAATAAAATATATTATATTAAACATGATCAAAAGATTAAATAATTAGTTTTTAAAAAATTAATAACTAATTAATTCATTTATCAAAACTATAAAGACTAATTTATAATTTACTCTGGTTGTCTCTCTTGTGTGCAGGGGCAAGCCTGCAAATGCGCTTTAATTGAGTAAATTATAAATTAAACCTTTCGAGTTTGGAAAAATAAAATAATTGGTACTTTTTTCAAAAACCAATTATTTAGTCATATTTTTTAATTTTATGTTATTTTCTATTTTTTTCTTTTTGTTCTAAAAATTAGAAAAATAAAAAAATAAATTTACATCATGATAAGAATGATGAACAAAAACATCTTACATTAAACATGCTCAACAGTGAATAAATTTATAGGAATTAGAATATATTATTACTTATTAATATATTTAATTAATAAAATTATTAAAAATATATAAATTAGAATAAATTTATTAACATTGCTAATGTATTCACGATATCAATTGTCGCGATCGTTATTTTATTACCACAGCTATTTGAAACTATGAATGTGACGGATCCTTCCAGTCTTGTAAGATGTGTATATGTAAAACATAATATTCTTTCGAGTGTGTAGTCAGCCTAGCTGTTCATCCATTTTCGTTATTAAAAAAAAAAAAAAAGTAATGGTTAGTTTGATAATTGACTGTTATGTTATGAAAATGTATTAAAAAAAAAAAAAAACTAAAGTCCAATTTTTACTGCCTACAAATAAATAGGCAAATCAATAACTATAATTATTTTTTAATATTATCAAGTTTGGGCTGATTTGATCTTAAAGAAAGTTTAATAATTAATCAAAAGCTAAACGTGTTCTGATGCTAATTTAATTCAGAAAGTAATAGATTTAGTATCAATTGATAAAAAAAACTAATCCGAAAATATTTCACTATATGTGATTGTAAATATATATATAAAAAAATGCATTTGTACTTGAAAGAAATGAGCGTAGCCATGCAAATTGTAAATTGGTAACCGGATTTCAGCTTCTCTTCCCGAATTTTTCTATTACCAAATGTCACAGTGATTTTTCAATTGCTTGTTTATAGTGGCGAGGCATGGTTCCCAGAACCAGAAAGAATGCGCAATAAGGGAAAATGAACAACAAAAGGTCCTGGGGGTCCATGCGTGAATTAGTAACTGAGACCAAGTTGTAGTCCAAGGAAAGCATGGAAGAGGAACAAGGTCATGATCCCACTGCCCAAAATTCCATGAACATTTCGCAATCCAGGATTTCCCTGCATACACATGAATAAAGTGAGAATCCAATAATTTGCAAGAACAGAAAGTGTAGATCGTGAGGGTCATGACATGCTACTATGAATCGTCACTTCCTTTTTGTATGTTGAGAATTATTGCCACCACTTTTTCCAGTATCTGTTAGGAGTAAAAAACTTGGCTCGTTACCTCAAATAATGCTGGTAAAATGGTTTGTATGGTCAAGAGAGCAAGGCCGATAAAACCTGTAACAGCATGAGGACTGCAAACAAAATAATGGAATTCAGATGATTAACAAATTTAAGGTATCAACTCTCCAGGGTAAGAAACAGTGTATTGGGTAAGAAAAAAGAAAACAGATTGACATATAATCTAAGCGTACCTCTCAAAAATAGGTTTATCTGAAGTCAATAAAGATGTTATTCCACCGGTTGCTCCAAGAGCAAAGAAGAAAAACATTCCACCAAGAAGCTTTGGATGCAAGTCTTTGGCCTTGGCCTTCTCCTCCTATAGGGATCAGAAACAAATCAAGTTATCAATTATACGAGGAAAACAGCCATAGTTTTAGTCACTCAAGTAAATGTTCTGCAATAATATCTTACCATGTCATCAGAAAACCGGATTCGAAATCCAAGATATGTTCCATAACCACCCATGGCAAAGAGCACAACGGCCTAATATTACAAGTAAGGAAAAGATAAATTTATGCTAATGATTATAAAAAGATATATAATTTATATGAGATTGATAAACAAAGCAAAAAGGAGGAGTTATACCATGTTGCCAGGATGACCCCAGTGCACAAGCCAGTCAGGAAGATTCAAAGACTTCACGAGCTCAACGAAAGGCCCAAAAAGAGAGCTTACAGTCGCAGCTGTTACCCAGATATTCAAGCTCTTGTGAATACTCAGTTTTAGAAAAGCAACAAATATAGAAATGAACCTATTATGATTCGGGAATAATTAATTAGAGGCCTAGCGATGCAGCAAGAGAGTGTGTCAGTCAATGCTATATTGCTCTCTATAGAAGCCTAAGAATGGTTGTAAGCAAGAAACAGCTAAAATCAAACACTCCAGTAGATGAGAAGTTCTTGGAAGTTGGATCTATGAGAACCTTGGGGTGAACATAAATTCCATTTTTAGGAGATGGAGTAGTAGCACATATGAGATTGATAGTGAAAATGGAAGCAAAGCAAGTCCAATCCACTCCTTAAGTGATTAGCATATAACACATAATTAAACCAACGCAAAAGAAGATGTATTTCCTTCTGTCGCCCATTCCTTCTCTTTTAAAAATCTCTCTCCTCCACTCCCTGGATAAAAAATGAAAAGAGACACCTGCTTGGGGTTTAAGCTACAATACCACACAGGTAGAAGTGAAGTTACTACTGAATTGAAACACATTCCTTTACCTGGATTACAAGTTGAAGTACTAACTTCTGTAACCTAGATTTACAGCTAAAGCCCTAACTTCAGATGCTGTGTGATTTCCCTATAGAATGTCATTGAAACATCTGTAAGACAAGAGAGAAAGCAAACTCTAGTGCTGTCAGTCTTGGCAATTTCGTATAATTATGTGTCAAAAGTTTTTCTTTTTGTATCAAAAAGTACTCCTGAGACATCAGTTTAATTGTCACATACCCAATATATATGCTTAAACAAACATTTGCATAATTTTCAATCTTAACAAAATAACCAAAAGAAGATCGAGCTTTTTGTCATAGCTTTTCTTTCCCATGATTCATCATCTCGAACAGATATTGCTTCAAAACCAAACCCACTCAAGCGGTAGGGAAAGTCCCATCTGACCATCCAGAATTCATTTCAAGAAGGAATTCACTCTGCCCTTAATTGGTAACAAGAACTGACATGAAATAGATTATGAAACCATCACTGCTCTCTTTTTTCTTTTCTTTTCTTTTTTTCCTTTCAATAGAAACTATCACTGCTCTAATTGGCATTGTTACAATATCACATAAATTAACTTGAAATGCCCTTCACCTGAGGTCAAGTGCACTACCTCAGGGGTGTGTGTGTGTGTGTATAGCATTATTATAAAGAAGATTGAATCTTATAAATACGAAAGATTGGTTCATAGAGGACTAAGAAGTATGAACTACCTTATTATGCTAAGCGTCATCTAGATGTGCATGCAGAATGAATCACATGGGTGATGGGTACGATCCAGGATTACAATCTATATATAGATATCCAACAAAATTTCACAGCGAAAATACTTAAAAAAGATATATGATAGTAGTGGTATTTATTTTACCTCCAGGGAGAGTAGCTATAAATAGCAGAGGCAAAGGAGCGAAAGAGTACAAAAGGGTCTCTCTTGGCTTGTCCATAAGTTCCACTTCCTCAGCCTCATCAACAGCTTCAATAAACTCATTCTTCATTGCAAAAAATGAATAAGGATATCTTCTATTTCTTGTAGTAGCAGTCAACGCATAATGTGAAGAGTCACGAGTTGGGACTAAAGGTGCGGAGGTACTGGGAAATGAAGAGGAAGGCAGAAGAGAAGAATTCTTGAGAAGAAGAGAGGAGAAGGAGGCATGGAGCATCAAAGCCATTTTCGTGAAGAGAGTTAAAAGCAACACGAGAGTGTGGCTTTTGACACTGTAGTGTTGAATGTTTTTGGTGCAAGGAAGATGGTAGTAGAACTGAAGCGAAGAAGTAGAGAGAGTTGAAAAAGATAAAAGAGAAGAGGCAAGTGGCAATTGGCAAGAAAAGGTGAGGCTTGAGACACGCCTATGCATTTTAGCATGGAGCAAGGAGCCTTTTCCACGTGCTCGCCATAAACTCTAGTTGGGATTTTTTGAGTCGCCCCAAAATGCAACTTTTCATTATAAAAAGACAAAAAAAAAGTCCTTCCAATTGATTTTAGTCCTTCTGATGATTTCTCCTCCTTCGATGTCTTGCAAAACGTAATTAACCAGCCAAAAAAAAAAAAAAAAAAAAACAATGGGAGTTTCTCTAGTATTATTTGTGAAGAGAAATGATCACAACTTCCTTACTTGATTACATAACATTTCCTTTTAAAAAGGAAGAAAAGAAAAGATTTGGATTATGCAGCATCACATTTATCTTTGTTCTACTAAATATGGATGAATACTACCGAGGAGGAAAAGAAAAAAAAAGTACTTGAGAACTGAAAATGCAAAAATCAAGGACCGGAAAGAAATACCTCCATTCCAAATCTGCTCCAAGACCAATATTTCGCTAGTTAAAATTTACAAAATGCATATTTAGCAGCCCATTCCTTCTCCAAATTCTGCTGCTCCTAAGAAACTATTGCCTAGAATCCCATAGCCATATTCCTCTAACTAGAATAAACCTACAGGCGTGTGGCACCCCAGCAGTGCATCAACCCATCGACTTCATCCTTACTATAGTAAGTCTCATATTTCTTCTTGCTGCTAGCCAGGTTCTTGCAAGCAATGGATTTTGACTTTATCTCAGTGGATATGGGATTCTATATGCTGCACAGAAGCCAAGACCCTTTCTTTGCAAGTTCAAATACTCATTCACCATCCCCAGTCTCCACTGGCATCAGATGAAAGTGCGTGGATATTTCAACCGATCTATCATGTCATGTCTGTACTGAAACAAAGAGGCTGGTTAAAAGTAAGCACATGATGTTAAAGGCACAAGACGAACAAGAAAAGCCAGAACAAATACAGTATGTAATTGCTTTATGAACAAATTCCTCATTATAGAAATGACTAGCAAACAGAAGGAATAAAGAAATCACAACAAATAATGGAAACTAACGTGAATTTTTTTCCAGAGGTTTGGACCTGAGACTTCTTGAAGGGCCGTGGACATGGGTGCAAGTTGAGGTAAGGGCTCACAGGCAAAACTAGCATGGTTTGGAACATAATAGATATCAGATAATACATGTTACTGTACATGACATCCAAATAGAAAAAGAAACAGCTATTGTGAGCTCATTGCCACTGTTAAAACCTTCTGTGAATAATCTTGGCCAAGCTTTTAGCAATGATGCTTGGATCTTATTATTAAAGGTTCAGGACTGGGTTGTAATCTGCTGAACTAGGTAGATCACAGATGCTCACCATGCCCAAACTGGTTTATGATTTGGTATTTGAAGAAATGTCTCAAAAGTAACTATTCTATTTACCTCAAACAGAGAATGAAAGCTAGAGTAACCTTCCACCCAGAAGGCCCAATACAATATCATCCATCAACTCGGAGAATGTTGTTACAAAATCCACCCTTGGTAGCTGATTCCATCTGAGGATCAACCCTCCAATGGCCATCAACAATGAATTTTATCTGCAAGAGCATTGTGTAAATTCTTGAGATAGTTATTAAAGGTTAAATTTATCTTAAACATAATATAGTTTAAATAATCATATAGCATATCTCTGATAGAATTTAATTAACTAATCTAGTTCATGTTATCTAATGGTTAAATTGAAGTTCTATTAACTTTTAAACTTCCATATAGCAGCAGATCTTTTTCAAATTGGAATATTAATTTGATACATGATTTTGTTGAAAAATCAAATGCATGAACTACTCCTAGTATCAAAGTTGCCTATCTTTTCAATGACTGCATTTGTGACACTATATTCCGATACAAATTATCATTCTTACAAATCTCATCCCCTGCATTCATAATTTGCTGCTAAAGCTACACAAAACAAACTGAATGATCTGTGAGCAACATTAGAGGTATTATAGATAAGCATCTTAAATCATTTTCTGGGCAACCAAGCCATATTTTAAAAAGAAATGTGCATCTTCAGGAGAAATATGGAAAAAGTGCTTTGCTACATCTTTTATATCTCCCTGCCCATACGACTTCTAAGGTTGACAAGTTCCAAATCATTCATACAAGTGATATCTGCACTTTTGAGCACTTTCCCTTTGACAGCAGCAACTGTGCAGTTTTTAAAACAAGGTAAAATGACCATAAACTCCACACAAATTTGTGGCTACAAAGCCCACAACTAAAATAATTAATTTTATCTTGCAGGCATAAATGTAAAAATGTGGTTATAGCATGTAACTATCACGTAGCAGATGTTCAAACCTCGTATACCCCAGGATAAAGCCACAGCATTGCTGACCAGAGTCTGGATTTCCTGGGAAAACAAGCATCATGGTGAGCTCATGATTCCTTCACCAGTTAAAACAAAATACAGACTATACAACCTCTCCAGATATCAGCATAAGACACAATTCAATAAAGCAATACAGAACATATGGCATGCAATTTAAACAGTATCTTTATAAATCTGTTCCAGCCTGTGACCAGTCATATAAGGGAAAGAATTTGCAAGGGAGGAAAAAAACATCTTGACTGAACCATATCTGAAGAGACAGGATCCTTCGACTTGGTGTTTCAGTTAAGCTGTGGAGACTGATATAGATATGGCCTATAGTTTAGTGCGTTACGCAAAGTGTACTGGGCCAGATGTTTTGGCAGGCGTATAGGCTGGTTAGGTTTTTTATAACCCTAGTTGTCCACACCATAAATATGGACAACATCTCTTATATTTGTAAGCCGCCACTTGAAAAACCTTAATAAGAACTTCTACTGCAGCCATAGAATAGGCACCCTTGCCGAACCACATAAATTTTTGTGCTATGTGATTGTTTTTGGTTTTTCTATTTTATCTTCTTGCTTGATTTGTTTCCCAACAACTTCTAGAGCGTTCAAGTTCCCATATTTGCCTTTTCAAGTTACACTCTCTGACTAGAAGATTTTCTCTCCATTGGCAAGTGAAAGCTTTATGCCAAATGAATATATTGGGACTCAATTTGAAATGTAATGATCTTGAAACTTGATGCGATGTTCCAATTAAGCAATAGGTTAACAGTACATTAGAGAAAAATACCTACATAATTCAATATAAAATGTTGAATTTGCTAGATAAAAACGATGATTTAGCTGCCCAAAAATAATGATTGATCGTGCATGTAATATTTAAAATAAGAGAAGATATTAAAAAACCTTGATCCAAAATGATCTTTGATGCTAGAGGATGGCTGAGGATCCAGTCTGATACGGTGATGCCAACCATTGAAGCTACCTGTCACCTCCACCATTTCACCATTCCCACAATACTGGATCTCAACCTGTAAACTCAGATTCTCAGTATGTGGACATAACGGGTAATAATCCATGTATTGATATATTTAACAGTGATTAACAAAAATTGGTCATGTTTTTTCTTTTCTTTTCTTTTTTTCTAGTTGGACCTAATATTTTTCTACCTTTTCTCTCACCTTTGTTGGTAGAATCAAGGGTTCCGGATATATTGGGAATCAAAGGTATTTAATCATTTTAGGAATTTGTACTGCAGAAAGTATAATTCTTAAGTTCTAAATTTCTATGATTATATCACTTCAGTATAACATCATCCAGAAGTAAGCAACATGGTTTCAAATAGTTAGCTCCGTGCTTTGCAAATTACCTGTTCCAGTTAATGATACTATATTGGTAGCACATTCAAAAATGTCAACTACCAAGCCATGTCGTTTTTTGCAAAATACAGCACTAGAGCAAAAAGATTCAGTAGTAGTACCTCCACTAGTTCTGAAAGACTTTCTTCAGCAGCAAGTAATTCAGCATCTTTTTCAGAGATAAGTTTTTGTGCTTTACTAATATCTCTTTCAGCCTTGGTTTGCAAAGCAGACAATGCAAACTGTAGGAAAAAAATTAACTACAAAATCAATAAGCCGTAGATTTCCCTCATAAAAATTAAGAACTATCCAATGTCCATGAAGAAGCAGTTACCACAATCTGCAACTATAAAATATCTCATTGAATTTCACATATCAAGTTGGGAAAATTTATATTGAAAATAACTGGAATATGTTAAACAACTCTTGAAAAAAATTCCAGGAAATTGTGATAGGATATGTTTTTTTATTCTGATCAGAGTTTTATAAGAAAACTGCAGTAAATAATTGAATAGAAAAAAACCACAATTCCCAAGTTTGGTAATTACCTACTCACAAGGACTTACAAGCTACAAATTTATATTCATTCAACTATAAAAAAAACCTAAGGATTAGAGAGCATTTATTGTCATGCTGAGACCTCCAAGGTGATAAATTGGTTGCGAGGGGAGTTCAAAGCTCCAGCATCTGAAATGTTAACTTCTTGTCCAATGAATCTTCTTCATTCACTAAACAAGCCCACTGACGTTACATGAATTCACTACTGCTCAAATTTCTTAATGTTTTCATGTATGAAGGTATAAGCTGTCTGATAGCCATTATGGAATGATGCATTCTTTCTAAGAATCTAACTAATTGCATTGAGTGGATGCTGAAAACAGTTTCAATACCAGCCACTAATAAGGCCACTATAGCTTATATACCTTTTCCTTCTCAATCTGTTTCTTCAGCTGGGATAATTCCAACTCCTTCTGATGCTACCAAACCAAAAGACAAAACTTCAATTATTCTATACAGCAAAGCTCCATAAATTCAGAATGCAAGATAGGCTTACAGAGAATATTAATATGGATACCAGCTTGAGTTTGAGGTGATTAATCTCAACCTGATTCTCCTTTTCGCTGGTCTGCATTGCAGAAACATGAAAATCAAGAAAATGGAATAAAAAATAAACAGGCACAAAACTTGAACAAGATATCATAATGTGACTGGTAGCGTTTTATGATGACCTCAACATCCAAATCGTGATCAACATCAGCACTGGCTAGACCTTCAGCTGGCGATTCATTCCTACACATAAGTCAAATAGCAAACGAGATCTAAGAGAAAAAAGAGTAGATTGCAAAATTCGTTTTTGATCCCAGCAGTTAATGCAATAATCAGCAACCGACAGGAACATGAATGAAAAAAAAAAATTACTCTTTCAACAAATTATTTTCTACAGTAAAACTAGACAAGATACATCTCCTAATTTTCTTCGATTCTTCAATCCTCTGGTAGATTAAACAGTGAGCTAGTTACTCAACATGAGAAAAGAAACAGAAATAAAGTGTTGCATTAAAAAAAAAAAAGCATATAGTTAATGAAAATTCATATTTAAATTTGGTCAAATAATAAGGCAAAAAAAAAAAAAAAAAAAGTCCACGCATGCATTACTCAGAAATAAATATTGCTTGGAAAAGCTCATAGAGTTCAAAAGCAATTAACGTACCACTAGATCACTCTTCATAAAGGAGGTCGAGCCATGCGAAAGTTTAAATAGAACAAAAACTTCAAAAGGGACATACTTTGAGAAAATGAACAATACACTAACCTAAGGGGGTGGCTTACTGTCACAGAAGGCACAACTTGCATGGATGTCCATAAACTTCCACTTGATGATGCAGTATCACTTTCACCAACTGAATGTTCAAAGTTCTCTTCAGATGAGATCTTTGAAAGAACTCCAGTCATATTTTCTGGTCCCCTAAATCCCTTGCTTTCTCCACTAGCACTCTCATTTGACAAGCCAAAGATTTTATCTGATCATCAAAAAGCTCCAGAGACTCAGCTTCAAATTCCAAAGGCACCAACTATAGAGATCAAACTATCAATTTACTCCACATCAGCCAAATATATCTGAACAGAGGCATATAGACGCCAGTCCACATGCCATTGTGTGAAGTCAAGTACTGAATGAATAAATATAACTAACAATAAAAGGTATGAAATTTGATGATAAGATGCACAGAAGAGAATTCAGTGACAATACAGTTTAAAAATCCCACAAGTAAACAAAAGCCTCACTGGGGGCTGCAAATGAGTTGATTAGACAAGTCCATCCAAACTTTCATGTGAGTAGGGTAGGCTCAACTAATCTTCTGGAAAGTTCAAACTCAGCTCATGTTTGTGACCAGCCTAGGGCAGGGAGCTGAAGCTTGACTCGTTTAAATTTTGTTAGCCACAAGCCTGGTCTGAGCTCCACTAAAGCTTGAGTGGATTAGATGGATAAATGAGCCAATAAATGAGCAGAAGTTGAAATTCAGGCCTTATGTATATATTATGTCGCAAAATAGTAACAAAAATAATATTTAAGGTTATTAAAAGAACTAGTTAAAAATACTCCAAAAGAATCAATGTTTTTACAAAATTTGCAGGCTTGAAAGCTCTTATTTTCTAGAAACCTTGTAATAAATTAGCACAAGAGTTATTACACAAGATTAATCATAAGAGTTTAAATGCACCAGATCACTAGAGCTTATGAAACTAAGCGAGCCAAAATAGGTTGAATTTTTTTTTTTTTTTTTGGATAAATAAATATGTTGAATTCATCTTAGCTCATGCTCAGCTTCTTCTTTGAAATGAACTTGACTCAGTAACTTTGATAAATGAGCTTAAACAGGCTTATATTGGGACAAGCGTCAAACAGCTTGTGAGTGACTCGGCTGATTTTCACCTCTAGCCTCACTGCAGGACTAGCAATTTTAAATTTTCTTAATCATTATAAAACGGGTTAAACATGTTTTTCAATGCAACAGATAACAATGTGAGCATCTCCCAATTGTAAGCTCATAATCTAACAAGTCAAAATCCCACACTGCTATTACAGCCAGCAGCATGCATGGTAAAAAACACCAAATCTGGATGGTTTTCCTTTTAGAAGTTCTAGACACTAAAATACAGAAATATTTACACTTCTATCAAACCAGTTCAATTTTTTAAAAATATATTTTAGTCCTACATTGAACACCTTGTATGCATACCAGAACCATCAGTTCTATCCTTCCATAGGCCAGTAGTAATTCCTGAAGTGAAACTAGGGTAAGACAATTCAATCAACTTACCTTCGATAGCATCCAAATCTCCATTCTGAATGAACTTTGCCACCTTTTCCTCCAATGATGAATTGGCTGACATGCAACTATAATTGTCATCAACGGGACCTGAAATATTTGTTACATTGGGATAATCTTGTGTGTCTAAAACCCCACTCGGCAATGACATTTCTTCTGCCCCAATGCTGACCTTCTCAGCCTTACCTGAATCATATTTGACTTTTTCCTCCAAGGAGGAATTAGCTGAAGTTTCTATAGACATTGAAGTATCATCATCAGAGTTGAGATATGGATAAACATGCAGGGCACCAAGATTGCTATCTGCATTGGAAACTTCAGCTGACAAAGGAAATTGTTTGACATTGCTTAAGACCTCTTCACCTTTCTGTTCCACATAGTATAATGGTGTTGACAAGGAATTATCCTCAACCATATATTTAACCTCCTGATCCTGCTGTTCAAAAGTACTCAAGGGTGATGACAACAATCCATCTTCAACTATGATCTGAAACTTTTCATCTGGCCGCTCTGCGTCATACAAGGCATTCTCCTCCAATGACAAATCAACTGGCAACTCTGCAGGCATGCAAATCTGTCTGCCAGATTTGTGTTCTGGATCAACATCTATATTTCCAGAATGGTTCTTGATGCTGGAACCTTCAGTTGACAAGGAACAATCCTTCATCTTCTTATCCTGGCCTTCTAAATTATGTGAGGCTATCAACAACAATGGAACTTAACACAAAAATTCAACCATAGACAAAAGAAACAAACATTGACCTGTTGCTATAATATTAGCACTATGATTGATTGCATCCGGTCCTTCAGCTAAATTTTTCTCCTTATTAGGTGGCTCATCACTGTCTGATTCAGTTGAATTTGAAAGAAGATCTCTAATAAGTTTGTATCCTCTCCGTCTCACAATGTTTGCCAGGTCATTCCTACGGAACATTCAGACAAATGGAAAGAAAACTGATTCAACACCCTACTTCTTGAATAGAAATGCTTGCGCTCATGTATGCACAGGTTCTTTCTTTCACAGAAGAACAAATTATTTCAGATAGATATCTTTCATAGCCAAGTTAAGTATAAGTATACAAATAAGCCAATCATGTTGCTTATAATTGGCATGGAAATGTTTCAGTTACTACCATAGTATATGAATTTCATTTCTTCGTTGCGTAAAATTACATTGCATTTTTCTTGGAAATTAACTCGTGAAGTAAATAAAGCCCTCGAAATTTACAAGAATTCAACGAGCAATTTAAAAGCAACCTATAAAATAGAAATGAAGTAAAGAAAGTAGCAATTGAAGAAAGAACCTTCCATGATCTTGAAGCTCCTTGAATGAAGGTACATGACCCTCTGGCAGTCCAACAGTTGATACAAATTCACGCAAATCATTGCAAAGCTCCACATTGTTCTTTACCTTTCTACTACCCCTAAAACCACCCAAAAAAAAAAAAGGCCCATCAATCAGAGAAAATAAATAGGCCCAATATCAATAACTCCAAAGAAAATGGCAGGTCTACCAAACCTGGGTTTCTTGATCGAACAAGCACACGCTGCGAAATTTCTTTTAAGTGGGTATTCTTGTTCTTGTTTATGGTTTAACAAGGGCTTGTAGTAAGAGAATGAAACGAAAGATGGGAGCTTGTAGAGTGTTGCCATAGGAGAGTTAAGGTAGAGGCAGAGGGGAGTTTCGCAGAAACGAGATGAGAGGTGGGTTTTGGTGCAGCAGTTTTTAACACTTAATCCTACTTAATAGGGTTTGGGCACTATGTACGGTATCAAGTAGTTTTGTAGAAGGAAAAACACTGGGAATCTGTTTTAAAGGCGACACTGACACAACTGAGAGATAAAGTGCATTGCTTGCCTCAATCTGCTATACACATGTCTAACGTACCAAATATCTGTATGAGCTTATCAGTTGTAAGGAAAAAACTAGTCCGTACCTTAAAATCATTTTTGAAGCTATCTGATAAAGTCGGCATCCTACATCTAACCCATGTACTGTGTTTAGTAGCACATCTAAAAATTTCTACGAAGGAACCATTCCATTAATTTTATTTTTTATATAAAAATTTCTTATAATAAACTCTTTCCACCGGGGATTCAGAAAAGAAAAGAAAATATGACAGGATAACCACAACCGTACAAGTTTTCAGAGAAGATTTGATTGCTGCCCCATCATCATCACCACATAGGTTCATATGATGGGCCCCACTTGAATAGTCACAATGAGATCTCGACCATTTGTTTGGTTGACTTCATTTCTTGTTATCCTTTTCAAGTATGATCACCATGGGCCGTTGTTGTTATCAAGTGGAGAAGATTTCAATGCGATTGTGTAATTACATGTTGCGTTCGCGTTGCAAATAAAGTTATGAAAAATAAAGTGAAAATGTAATAAATCAAATTCCAATAAAAAAAACTTTTAGGAAAAATATAATAATTCATATAGCAAGAAGCCACAATAATACATAGCAGAAATTTAATACATTTTTACTTTCTTTTTTTTTTTGGTATAAAAGATAGAAATGTATGTAAGCTATTCAACATTATCCGACATAAAATATTGTGCTCACACTAAATTAATTTTTTATTTAAAAAAATTCTTGTTGAAATTTTTCTAAAAATAACTACAATTATACGTTAAAACGTAAATATATTATTAATTACAAGTTGTAATCAATAAGATTTAAACGTTAAACCTCATGAGCAAGTGCTCATTAAAGAGCTCACTTACCACTACATCAAGCCTTTGTTGGCAATTGATATATTTTTACTATTTCGTTTTTTGATTTATACTAAATTATTTTTAATGTTCAAATTGGTGTATTGTAGACAATGAGTTGTATATCCGCAGAGCATATTCATGTTGGAACGTCAAATGACTGGGCAAAGAGAAGATTGTGATGGTCAAAATCCAATGTAAATCAACTTGCCTTGTTTTAAATGAGAAAAAGAAAAAGCTATGGAAAAATAGCAAAATAAGTACCAAGATTGCATCCTTCCTCCAAAAAGGAAAAAAAAACAGTTACCAAGATTATATTTCTTGAAATACAATATTAATTTCCATAAGGCAATCCATCAACGTTATAAGCAACGTTAAATCAATTCATTGTTTTAAACATTACTAATACTCTAAAACGAACGCATTTTTACTATGTCTTCTACTATTCATTTCACTGTTCAATGAACGAGTGTTTTTGTTTCTTTTTTTTAAAAAAAAAACCCAACAGCCAAGGCTTGCCTAGCCTTTTTTTTTTTTTCCTTCTAATATATATATTATTTGATTTTTATCCTTATAATAAATATTTTTTCTTGACTTTTAGTAAAGATTTATGTTTTTTTTTAATTCTATTTTTGTGATATGTTTTTAGTTTAGTTATTAAATTTTTATTATGTTTTATTTTTATCTTTACCATACTAAAACTAAATAAAGTTTACTATCTTAAACTTTTTTTTGTACTACTCACTCTTTTTTCCTTTTTTCTTTTACCCTCATAATATACTATTCACTCTTAGGTGTTTTTGTTTTTAAATTTTCACCCTTAGTTTTTTTTTTCTTCTTTTCTTAGGTTTTTGTTTTTCATATAATTTTCAAATTATTTCATTTTAATCCTCGAAATTTTAAAATAAAAATTTTAATCCCTAACCGATGCACTACATATCTTTTCTTTTCTTTTTTTCTTTGATTTTTCATCAATTTATGTTCTTTTTTTATTTAATTGGGTGTTTAAATTTTTAAAAATCAATCGTTACTCTTTTTTCCATACAAACCGACGATTATATAATATATATAAATCAAATATATGTACTTTCAAAAAATAATCTTTTCATCAACATTAAATAAAAAATATTTTATTTTTTCATTGCTTAATTTTATGCAAGTCTATACATTAATTGTAACTTTATTTTTTGAATATATTCTTATATATTTTTAAAATATTTTTTATATTCTTAATTAATATTTCGGGTTTAAATTATATATTATAAGTTTTTATTTAGGAATCCCTAAATAAAGAAAAATAAATTATTTTTTTAAGAAAAAATTTTATGAAAAAAAATAGTAATAATTAAATAAAAAATTAATGAAAAAATTATAAAAATTTTAAATGATTTTGTTCTATCTACCGTAGCGTTGCGTTGATAATTTCAAAAATTAATCTTCTCATCAGCATTAAATAAGATTTTTTTTTCCATTTGTTAGTTTTTATAAAAGCCTATCTATTAATTATAACTTTATTTTTTGGAATACAATATTATAAAAAAATATATTTTTAAAGTTTTTGTAATTCGATAAGAAGATTTTTTTCCATCTATAAAGAAGAATGACTTATGTATTTTTAAGCAAAAGAATTTATTAAAAAATTAATTAAATAAGAAATTATAATTTTTTTTTAATTTTAAAGTGAGTTTCTTCTACTAGACCCGCAGCAGTAGCACGGATAACCGACTAGTATGCCACTATGTGTCCTTCGAAATGAACATTAATTTAAGAAAATTGAATTAAAAATTAATAATTATTGTACTTAAAAAATTAAATAACAAATGCATACAAATGAGAAACATCTTTGATGGGCACTTTCGTTCCTTAAGAAGAAAAAAAAACTACCGAAATCATCTACTTCACTACCATAACCAAACCCAAAAGTTGTACGCTTTTCCCCATTTTTTTCCTAAACCTCAATTCAGGCTAATATTAATATATTGCAATCAGACTATCAAAATAATTAAAATAGCTAGCATAAAAAATTAATTTAATTTTGGTAAATACATTTTTTTTTCCGTATAAAGAAGGTAGCTTGGACATAAATAATATTTTTGCATTATTTTTTAAAAATTGAATGAGGTTTTGGTCAAATAGACAATTTTCTTTTTTGATAGATTCTATAATTTCATAAAATATTAGCAGGTCATGGTAATTTACCATAATACTATTATCTATTATATCAAGAATTATTATTATTATTATTATTTTGACAAACATAGAATTTTTATTAATAGAAAAAAAAAGAATGTTTTTTACATCATGATCAATGAAACCAATCTAAAATAATATTCTCTACGAATAGAGAATAAAAATGACTTTCATGTCGTCTATTGATGCTAGAAAGCACACAAAAAAAAAAACAAAAAAAACAAAAAAAACAAAAAAAAAATTACATAGAAAAATTGAAATTTAATGACTGACCTGGAAAAAAAAAGGACTGTTCGAATTTATATTTTTACTACTAAATTCCACCAATAGATCTACTATCTTAAAATCTTTCAATTAATATGTTTTTTCTACCACGAGATCTTGATCTTAATCACTAAAATCTTTGAAAAATTTCCTTTGCAACACTTAAAAACCACATGTGGGGCACAAATACCAATTAAAAAAACTTCACAAGCAAAAAAAAAATAGATAAACAGTAGATTAAAACTAAAATACATCATAGCTATACTATTAGATCCATAATTATTGAAGAAAAAAATGAAAAATAATGTTGCTATAGGTTAAAATCAATAGCGACCTTTCACTAATTCAATAAAAAAAAAATGATTTTTAGAGAAATAAAGAGAGCAAAATCCTAAAGGAGGAGGGAGAGGAATTTTTCACACATACAAAAAAAAAAAAAAAAAAAAAAAAAAAAAAAAAAGAAGCTCCTCTATCAACTACATGATGTTAATTATGTATTATTGTCAAATAAAAGCAATTATTAATTAATTCTTAAAATTTGAACTTATTAAAGCATAGATAATAAATTAGCATCGTCGTGCCTATCAAGAAAATTTTTGTGCATGTTGTCTAGTAATTTTTTTTTATATATATAAAATATAACCATTATATATGTTACAAGACATGTTCTATTGCAAATGAGCTGAGCTGTCGAGGAATAATTCAAATTTTGGCTTTTTAAGGACTTGGCTCGAGCTCATTTGTTAAGATTAACAAATAATTTGAACCTGTGTTTAAGCATGCTTTTTAAACAAATAGAGTTTAAATTTAGATTAACTCAACTTATATAGGCTGATGAGCCGGCTCAATTAGACTTGTCAGTTAGCTTGCGAGCTAATTTAATTATTTGAATTACATTGGATTATCATTTGTTTGAGGAATTGATTAGATTAAGTTTAAGATTTTGAGATTCATATGGGGAAAAGCGATTCTAGATCATTGTAATAACTTGAATGGTGTTTAATTATCTTGGATAAGTGAAATAAGGAGTTAATTTGATGTGGAATCAAATGAATTTGAGAAATTGAGAGGCTGAAAATTATAAATAGTGAAAAAATCGAATTTAGGTTTGAATTGAAAAGAATTTTGAAAAAAATGAGGAATTAAGTTATAAAAGTATAATTAAAGATGAATGGAGTGATTATTGGATGAATTAGAATAGAATTGATCATTTAATGAAATTAAAGATTGAGTTATTAAATGTGATTAAATGATTATTTAGGTTCGGTTGGGGCATCGTAGGATTTAGTTAGATTATCGAATTGAGTCTTTCCAATTAATTCCTTTATTTATTTGATAATCTTGTATTTCTAATTCTAAAATAATTCATTATTTGGATTATTCCTTGTTATGTGACATTGATGGATGATTTATTATTTTGTGATGCTAGATTCTTCGAAGCGGACGACTCTATCCCAATCGTCTTGATTTTTGTTCGGTTCTTCAACTCGTATAGTGAGCGGATATTATATTATGTATTATGTTTTAAAGTTCTTGATTTGTACATCATGCATCATTGTTTATAAATGATTTATAAGCATTCTAGTAGAATTTAGATGGGAATAGACATTCTAAATATTTGAAATGTTTTCGTATCAAAATGATTTGATGAGAATTGAAAAGAGATTTCAATGTGTTGGATAAATGTGAATGATTTGATACGAAAACATTTATTGAATAGCATGTTTGGTTTTCGAAAATGTTTTCGAAACCCCGAAGAACCTAGCCATCGGGAGGTAAGGTTCGTTATTTTGAGTATATGTGTATTTTATGAAAATGCATGCATAGTATTTGAAATACCGATTTGAAAAATGTATAAGTATGTTTGATTTTTGAAAATGTTTTCAAGACTTTGGAGAACCTAGCTATCGGGAGGTAGCATTTGAGCTCAATGATATAAGGCTCCATCTAACGGGAGAGGTGTAGTGCTAGACCGTATGTCGACCAACATGCAAAAACTTAGTCAAAAGAGGTGTGACCTTTGGATGTTCGCACCTATTGATACGTTATTATCCCATGGATGTATAAAAACTTATATATGTGTATGAGTACGATATATGTATGTATAAATGTTTTGATGATTTGATATGAAATGATTTTGACTTGTGATATAAGATGCGTTTTCAATATGCATGTGTTTTGAGAAAATAGCATTGCACTTTGACATGGATTTGAGAATATCATCCGTAGTCCGTTTCCCTCTCTTAGTATATATTATAATGTCGAGTCATCGAGCTATTGATTTCTCATCCCTCATTATTTTAGTTTTGTAAGATATTGAGAGATTGCTCATTGCTTATTTTGGGTTGTCTTCCGTGAAGTCGATATTTTGGTCGTGCTACTCATTTTCTTATAATTTCTTAGAACCTATGTTTTTTTTTAAATTGTAATCTTAGACGTTCATGCAGTTATAGCTATGGGTGATGTATTAGGAGTTAATTATGAATATTGATGTTGGATACAAAATATGAATTGTATTGAGATTATAAAAGAAATGTTTATTAAATTATAATAATGTTAATTGGAATGATAATTTGAGTAATATTGATTTGAGGACTATAGTATACATGGCCCACTCTTGGGGTCGTGACAATTAGCCCGTTTGTTAATCAACATGCGATATATCTAGCTAATGGAGGCGTAACCTTTGAATGTTCACATCCAATAATACAATATGACTTGATCACTCTATGTATATATTTCGATACTTGATATGATTTGATTTGATTATATGTATTTCGATTAAGATTTTGATTTTGATTTTCAATGATTTGAGAATATGAGATACGATTTGATATTTAAGATAAATATATATATCCGATTTTGAGAAACATGCATTGCAAGTCATAAATTACTATTCGTTTATCCACTTTCTTTCCTTAGTTATATTATATATTATTTACTCACCGAGTTATTGTTTTACTCACAACCCACCATTTCAATTTTATAGACTTTGTGAGATTGTTTGTTGACTTCTTTAGAATTGATTGTCTTAAAGCCAACACATTGTTCGTGTGACTCACTTAATTGTAATATTTTAAACCAAGTATTTTGATATTGTTGTATATTCTAGAGCTCTACAGTTATATTTGTGAGAGTTGTATTATATTGTTGATTATGATTATTATTTTGGATATGTATAAATATTATGGAATTATAGTTTGAACTAGAATTAGAAAATAACGACTATTTAGGTTGTGGTATTATGAATTAGATGGATATTTAAATTTCTGCGGTCTAACGGCTATTATTTAGATATTCAAGGCTTGTTTGAGTCAAGATGGATCCCATGATTCTCTTGATTCTTGCACTAGTCATGGTCCACTTCGACTCGTCGTGACATATTCTTATTACAAGGCAATTTAACTTGGATTTGTTTTCAAATAATTCCACTTAATATATACTATTAATGTTATATTTATGTAAAAATCTCAAATTAAAAAATTTGGACTATTGATCAATGTATGTTAATGAGAAAAATATATATAACTATTATTATTATTATGTATGGATTTATTGGCAACAAGGGATCATTTAAGGCCATGAGAAAAAAAAAGAAAAAAGAAAAGACAGGTATGAAAGCATACAACTAAATTGCAAAGAGAAGAAAGGAAACCTCAATAAAAGGATAGAAACCTAAACTAGGAAAAAACAATCTACAAGAGAGAAAGTTACTCTATACAAAATTAAAAAAAAAAAAAAAAAATTACTTATGAGAAAAATTGTATGTGGATATCACAAAGCTATAAAAATTTGATAAGGTTTTGATAAACGAAGAGCCAATTGTTATTTTTTATATAGCAAGGTTTAATGCATTTTTCTTAACACAAGGTTATACATCATTAAACCAATACAATTTAAGACTCGAAAAGTGTCATGTAAGAATATTCATAATTTTTATTAGGGTTAATAGCTTCATATGTTCTTATATAATAATTTAAGTTTTTGATCTATTTTTATATCTTAAAACAATTCTATTATGTCTTTTCTATTTTAGATAGTTTTTAATCTATTCTTATAGTCAATTTTTTCGGCCAAAATCAGGTTACTCCATAGGTTTTGGCCAAATCATTAAAAATTGATAACGTGACTTACAAATGACATGTTTTTTTATGAAAATATTCCTTGTGTGCAAATCAGGTTAATCCATAGATCTACTTTTGAAGGATATTTTCATCAAAAGACATGTCATGTTGTTAATTTTTAGTAGTTTGGTCGAAAAAATTAATCAAAAGAATAAATTAGAAATCAATTAAAATAACATAAGCATAATAAAATCGTTTTAAAGTATAAAAATAGATTGAAAACTTGAGCCATTATATAAGGGCAAATGAGACTATTAACTCTTTTTGTTATTATACTAAAATTTTAATCTTATTTTTAAAACTATATTTAGATTTGATTTGAGTTTTTTATTTTTTTGATTAAATTCTTTTATTTCTAAATAGCAAGTAAAGAGAAAACATTTATATCATTCAAAGTTTAACTAAGGTGTTGTTTGATAATTATGAATAAAACAATAGGAATGAAAATATAGAAATCGGAATAAAAAACTGAAATAAATATTACTGTGTTTGGTATAAACAAATAAAAATAAAAATGATATCATATATTTATCATTGTACCCTTCAACAACCATAATAAATTTTATCATAAAAGCAAATTAAAATTTAGAAATAGATTATATGAATATTTTTTATTATTCTTTTAAAACAAGCAATAGTTTTATACACAAAAAGATTATACGAATATTTTTTTATCAACAATTGCATTATTAGCATCAACAAAGGATTATATGAATATTTTTTATCAATCTCGGGAAGCAGCCCATAGCAAGGTGGTATTTTCCCCAAGAAGTTGATTTCAGACTTGAGCACCTGCCCCCTGATGCCAAAGGACTTGCGGTTTGGATAATTGAAGCCAAAGTGTGTGATAGTGACATCATCGAAATGCTTTCCGTTTTCAGTTACATTTCTGTGGTTCTTTTTTTTTTTTTTTTTTTTTTTTGGTTATACAATTAGCAGGAACCGAAAAAATAAAGCTAGCATTCAAATCGATCACATATTCAGTCATGTTTATAAATTTCTCTTGTACACGTTTTGTACAGGTTTAAGGAAATTTCATTTTTGCTTTATCCTGACTTGCACATCCTTACATGAAAAGTAGCATGGCTGCTCTTTGTTTAGATCTGAACATTTAGCTAGACAACCAAAAGAATATATTACCAAAGATAACAGTGATTTAATCTGGAACCTCATTGCTCTTTTTTTAAACTTCATATGAATTTAGAGCTACTTATGAGAAACCTTGTATGGAACATTAAGCGTTATCTCATGATATTTCAAACTAAGTGATATATCAAAATGGAACTTCAATATTCATGTTGTGGTTTCGTTGCTTCTCTTCTCCATGTTACTTATGTGTTTACTTACTTGTAACTTCATTTTAATTTTCCTTTCGTAGACCACTGTATCAAACCCGGAAGAAGCTTTGCAAAGCCTATCTGTAAGACACAAAGTTGCTTGATTACCCTATCTTCATGGTCCAGCTTTTGAACTATAGCTTGGAATTGCAAGGTGGGATAGTTAATAAAGCAGTTGGAGAGACTCGTATCCTTTTCCTTTTGCCTATATTTGAATTTATGCATTTCTTTATTATGCTTTACTTATAAAAGAATTCGATAACTGCACTCTATTCGCCTTTTTTTTCTTGGGGAATATTGTGACCACAATTCTTCTAATTCTTTTGGTGCACTTAGCATAGATAGAAATGAATATGGCCAGCATAAGAAGTCATGGTATTAACACATTGACTGTTCAGCTAAAGTCGACTGCAGATATAACAGGAATAGTTCTGTCGGTATAGCCACGACCAAAATTCAATGAATAACCTTTAATTATGTTCAGCTAGAGTCAGCTAATATCAATCCAAAGTATGCTATAAATGCAACTTAAGTAGCATCAAATGATTTTCCAGAAAAAATATGAGTAGACTACAATATAAAAAAATTCCTAAAAAAGCATAAAATTATAAATTCAATCGCTACTAATTGTAGCAGCAACACTGCTACAAATTAATCAATAAACCCAATCTCGATACGTGCAAACATGACCTTGTAATTATCTAAGATACTAAATAACACTTCAATCTTCTTATCATCTTGACCAATAATGCTTGCTACTTTAACTAATTCAGTTGGAGAAAGTACTTTAAGGTTCGTTGAAGTTTCAAACACTTTGCTCTTTTTTTCACTCATAACATATGTCAATTCCTTCTCGGTTTCAACTAAACTTTTGATGGACTTTGATAGCTCCATAAAGTCTCGCTTGTAAAGGATCGATTGCTCCAAATTTTCTCTTATACTTTGATTTTGTAGCTTTTGATGAATGGGTCGCTTCTTGACTTATAAAAGCTACATGTGTTAAGTTTGAATGCATCTCATTCGTATCTCCATCATCCACATCATTGTTAGTTTGGTTGTTTACCGTAATTTCTTCTTCTCTAGGACCTCAAGCTTTGTCTCCATTAGCCTTATCTTTGGTATAAATTTCACACAATTTATCAAAATAGACAAACGGCTTCATATACAATGCCGATGCTCCATCACGACTCTACATAATAACATTGTATTAATAAATTAAACAAAAAAATTAATATTTAATAATCACTTGAAAGAAAGAGGAAAAAAAAGATGAACATTACCTTTGCCCATCCCATAAAGATCGATTTATCTCTTATCACCATTTTGCTATCATCATCCATCCAAATCCATTACCATTTTTTTGAATCTCTAATATATAGCCAAGTTGCTTCTTCAATACCTTAATTTTTGAGTTGATATGTGGTTTGCCTTTAATACCACATCCCGGTAATTTTTCTTCCATAAGGTTCTCAACATGAGTAAAAAATCCATTCTTGTAACCAAGTATCCACTTTCTATTTAGTGCCGCCTAATTCTAAAAGGATATCAACTAACCCTAATTCTTCTTGGCTATTCCACTTTCTTTTATTCCTACCCCTTCTTCGACCAAGTTCATGCCGCAAATTAACTTGCTCCACTTCTAAAATTTCCATTTGACTAATAAAAGAATTACATAAGAAAATATATATGTAAAAAAATCACATTTTGTCCACACCACATTTGGAATAAACAATATCCATACCACCAATCAAATAATATAATTGTTAAAATATTGATAGATGAAAGCATAATAAAAAAAAATCAAATTAATCAAAATCTCTATACAAAATAAAAACAATAGAAAACTATAAATATTATCCATTTTGTTTTTAACTCTCCATGAATCATACATTTCTCTCGGCTAGATTATCCCTCCAAGAAGTCCATTGGTTTGTTGTTTCAAGTAGTAGCAATATAATTTCTATTATTACTATCTTCTTCTACTAAGATATTTAAATATCTGCTCCATTGGGTCAAGTCTCATTTGTTGTCAAATGAGATTGTGAATATAACTACACGCTAATATGACATCAACTTGTGTATGAATAGGATAGTAAGTTAGATATCTAAGTATTTCCTAATGCAACTTCAACAATCCAAATGTCCTCTCAATGACATTTCTTGCTGCCGAATGTTTCATATTAAAAATTCTTCGGGCGTATTTGGTTGATGTCTTATTCTCCATTCATTAAGGTGGTAACGCTAACTCCTATAAGGAGCAAGAAATCCCTCATAATTTTTATAGCTAGCATCAACAAGATAATAGGAACATAATAAATAAAAAATAAAAAATTTGAATATTAAATATTAATTAGTGTAATATGTAAAGATGCATATATAATATATCTCATCCCTAGGAACTTTCAACCCATTTGTCCTTGTTAAAGCATTTGAAGCACTCTTTCATCAACACATGAACCTTCTCAACGAAGCAAAACATATATAAATTGCATATCTTGAGAGCACATGCCTAGAACATTTGTTGCAATTTCATTCTTTCTTGTGTGATATTGTGGCTTTATCGAGTACCGGTACATTTACTCTAATGTATGTGCCGTTTAAAGCTCCTAAGAAATTCTAGAATAAACATAAAACTAAAGTTAAATTAATGACAATTTACTTCAAGTGTTAGAGAAAGCTATGAAGACAAGACACCCACCTCTATCTCTCATCATTGCAATTGGCGTAATAGGTTCGAGTGTTTTGAGTAAAATCCTCCAAAGCTTTAGTATTGCTTTTAACACTCCATGAAAATGTCTACTTATTGTCTCTTCGGATCGTTGAAAATCATATTTAATTTCTTGATTTTTCTCCTTAAATGCAATAAGGTGCAAGAATATTGCAACCATTTTCTCTAACATTCATATTTCTAATATCTCTAAGTCCTCCAATATCTCGAACCAATGAACAAAGAACATTAAAAGTATATCTATTCATTCTAAGTTGTTCAATGCATGCAATGTCACTAGCAACAATCATGCCAATGAGGTGTTGAATATGTGCTATTGGATTATGTCTACTAGGTTCTTTTATCAACTTCATCATACGCCTCCAAATGACATACATCAATATGGTCAACAACATAATAATTAATTTGATCTTATGTTTTTTCTTCGAGACGTGTCTAATAATATCTTTGCTACGAGGTGAACGAGTATAACTGTTAACAAAAAAAAGTGGATTGGTGAAATTTATTAATATTATTTTATTTTATTTTTTAAAAGTTTCTGCGTCAAGCCTAAGGAAACCGTGCAATGCGAGGATACAATTTCTGACCTATGATATATAGTATCATCCTATTCAGGATCAATTCATCTCATCTTTGCACATGTTTTGGCAAACATTGTAAAAGTACTCCAGCGTTGTTCGATGTACCTACATGGCTTATCTTGGATGGACTAGGTTGCAAAGATTTTTAAGTGAAGAACAAGTATGGGGTTAGGTCCATGGTGCCACTACAGGTTTAGGGGCTCCAAGCTTAGCTTTGGACCACATCACGTTATCTGTGATATTTAGGATGTGGATATATATGTACCCAAAATTTCATGATAACTGACAGGGATAGGGAAAGGTGTGTTCTCTAAAGAGACTCCATGAAGGACCAAACTAACGCTGTACATGATATAATTGACTAACGAAATTGGGAAATTGTTAATTATAAGAGTATGCATAGGATCTGTGTGGTAGTCATAGTTCTTGATGCAGCAAAAGGATTAACGAATAATGAATGTAAACGGATTAGATTACATTAATTTGGGCCTAGCCTCTGCGATATTCATGGAACTGGCGTTTCTTACAACGTACTTGCATGAACAAACACCAAAGCTGCATTGCGGAGATAGAAACAAAAACATACACGAACTTTTTAACAGGTATTTGAGAAAAACGAAAAAGAGAGACAATGAATCTAAACTCTGTTCAGCGTTTAGACAATGCACCTAAATTACCCGGATAATAAGATGGGCAAGCCTCTCATTGCTTTCAAGTACCTTTAGATGGAGTATTAGAAACCAAAATTGAATATTGAAGGAGATCAATGACGGTCATAAGGGTCTTAAAAGGGGAACAAAAGTGACAAAGGTGGGAGCATTTACGAGAAACTTGAGTCCTAATAAGGCACCAGTGAAGTTATGAGCTGTAAGTGCAAATTAAAAATTGTAAACAAATAGGGAATAAAAAAAGACATGAAACAAAGTGGGTATGGATCTACACTATTGTTTTTTTGATGTTGAGGCTAGTAGACTAAGTTCATCTCTTCATATTGATGGTCTTGAGGTCAACGGAGAAAGCAAATGATATCGTGGTGAATCAATTTGATGGATGAAATTGGTTTCATAATTATGATTACGCTGAGAAAGGCAGAATTTGGGTTCTATGGAGGTCTTCTGTTCAGATTCATATTTTGCAAGATCGTGCTCAATTTATCCATTCAGTTTTGTGATGTTTTAGGCAACTACATATGCCACTTGACCTTTATATGTGGGTCTTGTACTTCTAAAATCAGAGAAGATTTGTTGAAGACTTTGAGATCGTTCAGCCCTTTCTACAACTTTGCCCTTGGGTTTTTATGGGTGTTTTCAACATTATACGCAAGTCTGAAGAGCCTGCTTCTAATGCGGACTACTCCGAGGCAGATATGGAGATGTTTGAATGTTGTCTAAAGGAGACCGATTTGTTTGATTTGGCAAGCTCAGGTAATTTTTTTACCCGATATAATAAACATTCAGCTAACCCTATTTTGAAGAAAGTAGACAGAATCCTGGTGATTGATGCTTGCCTCCGGGCTTTTCCCTCATATTGTGCTGAGTTTCTCAATCCCAGTGTTTTGGACCACTCTCCCATGCGGGTCAGAACTTATGTCCCTAGTCTAAGCCCAAACATTTCAAGTACTTCAATTTCAGGGCCACTCATGCTTCCTTTTTAGAGATATTGTGGCTTCTAATTGGAGTATGCAAGTTGATGAGGTCCCTATGTTGAGAATATAGAAGAAACTGCAAACTGTGAAAATGCCTCTTAAGCATCTTAAAGTGTGTGTATATATATATATATATATATATATATATTA